AGGGTCCCCTCTCTGTCCCCATGGGCCCCGCAGGGTCCCCTCTCCGTCACCATGAGCCCTGCAGGGTCCCCTCTCTGTCCCCGTGAGTCCCGCAGGGTCCCCTCTCCGTCACCGTGAGCCCCACAGGGTCCCCTGTCTATCCCCGTGGGCCCCACAGGGTCCCCACTCCGTGACCATGAGCCCCGCAGGGTCCTCCTATGCTGACCATGCCTCTGATGCCTCACGGCTGCACCAGCTTCTAGCCGGCGATCACCAAGGCTCCTCGGACCCTCACTGACCCTCCTCGGACCCTGCCACGTACCTGCCGGAGGAGGGGTCGGACACGGCATGCACCATGTCCGTGGACAGCGCGTCCAGAATGCTCGTCAGAAACTCATTCTTTTTGGCACCCGGACAACCTAAAAAAACAAAGTCAGCATCTTTTTTTTTTTTGCTCGTATTTCACAGAACCCACAGAATAGAAGAGATCTTTCCCTGTGATGAAAAGAAATGTTTATGTCTTGGAAATCAGTATGTCGGGGTACCTTAGTATCAGTGAGCTCATGTGAACACATGGCAACACATATATTGACGTGGGGTCCTGATTTTCGTGAATGATGGCATCTGACACTTACCAAGTCGCCCACGGGACTCAGAGATCGTAGGCACTGATATCCACAGCGGCAGTCCCGGGCGGCACCCCTACTGGCCAACACTATGTACGAATTCCTGGTGCCTGCGGGCATCGGGAAACGTGCGAGGTCCCTGCTGGAGACGGATGTGGCCGGACGCCTGTCCCGGTGGGCCTGGGGGACCCCACAGGCGCAGAGTGGCTGGCTTACGGGCAGCTCGGCTTCCCTCAATCTATTAACCCGCAAGGCACCGCCTAGCGGCAGCCCCCTTCTCCACCCTCACACCACTTGCAGCTCCCCGGCCCCCGCACCTGCCGCACTCCACCCCATGCTGTTCCGGGACAAGGACAAGAGCCGGGCCAGGTGCGTCCTTTCCGGGCTCTGGAGAGGTCAGAAGACTCGGCCTGGGTCGGACGGTGGTTCAGTGAGACGGCCGGTGAGCCATTCAAAGACCAACATGTTATGCGGTTAAACACACTCTGGTTTTCCTTTTGACACTTGAGTTGTGGTTATTATTATGCAAGTATGTGTTGGCTGCCTACAGCAGGCATCCATTCAGGCCTGTCTGCGCTTCGTTAAGTACACGTATCAGAGAAAAGATGTGAGTCCTCACGGGGGGGAGGGGGGGAGGTTAACAGTGAAAACCAGCGGTGTTATTCCCCTTTGATAGAACCAAAAAACTAGATCCTACTCCATAGGGAAAACACACACCATTGAGAGAATGTTCCTTCTCAAGAAAACATCATGATCTGCTTAGCTCTTCCCTCCGGGGGCTGCCGGTGAGTTGCACGTGGTTCGGAAACCCAGGGAGCCTCCCGCAGCCCCCACGCTCCAGCTGGGAGGACAGGGGCCTCGATGGGGGTGGTTAGGAAGAGAGAGAGACAGAGCATGAGTGGAGGAGGAACAGAGAGAGAGGGAGACACAGAATCCGAAGCGGGGTCCAGGCCCTGAGCTGTCAGCACAGAGCCCGAGACGGGGCTCGAACCCATAAACCGTGAGGTCACGACCTGAGCCGAAGTCGGACACTCAACCGACCCAGCCCCTTTGTAAACTTCATTTTAAATAAAGAAAATAAGAAATGCATTCATCTCACAAAGACAAAGCCACCAGACCTGCAAAACTGTCCTCAAGCACACTGGGTCCCACGCCGTGCACACGCGCTCTGGGTGAGGCTAGCTGGACCTCACACACACACACACACACACACACACACACACACACACGGTCTGCCTGCAGATAGGAGGTCCTGCTCACGCTGCTGCCCTTCCTCCACAGACACTGTTGAGCCCCCGTGAAGGCGAAGGCGCTGGGCCTGGTGGCCGCAATCACCTACAGGAGCGAGCGTCCCGAGTCCCCGCCTCAGCCGACAGGACCACAGAGTCCTGATTTACCCCAGACTCTGGGAGCACGCGGCCACCACTCCGAGGGTAACAGCTAATGAGACAGGAATGGGGGTGCCACTCGCCATCAGTGGGGAAGTGGGTTTCACCGCGACGAGGGCTCGGGGAGCACAGTCCCACGATCCCCACGAGTCGGGGCACGGGCAGGACCGCAGGTCACTTAGACTGAGGGGTGGAGGTGGGGAGGCCCCGGAGAAAGCAGCCGGCCTGGGTTTGTGGTATCTGCGCGGCGTCTATCGCAGTGTTCGGGGGCTGCTTCTGAGAGGACTCCCCCCAGGAGCAGAGCGGAGACCCCCCCCCGTCCTAGTCACCCTGGGATGAGGGTTGCCACTGGGTGATGGGGACTGCTGCTCAAAGCCAGTTCTGAGACAAAGCAAATGAAAACGCAAAATGAGAAGAAATCAGAAAAAATTCAGAACCCACCGAGCAGATTTTCCTTGCGTGGAAGTGACAGAGGTACAGAATGGAAATGTCACCATGAAGTGGACCAGATCTTGGAAATACACGAAAGCAGCAACGGGCCTGACACAGAAGCAAGGCGCCCCCAGACCTCGGGGGCTTCTGCTGGGAAGACGGGTGGTCTCTCCGGGGACAGGGCGCCGTGACCCGGACAGACACGCACACTCCTCGGGGACAGAGCCACTGGTCGGAAGCAGACAGGCCAGGGTGGCAGTGAGGGCCGAGACCTTCTCAGGGGCCTGCAGACTGCTTGCGGGGCCAGGGCGGCGGGGAGCCCTGGGGGGCCACGTGCTGACAGGACGGCCACTCCTGGCCGGGCCCTTGCTCCTTGGCTCGCCTCCTGCTCACCCTGCACGGTGGCCCCTGGGGCGGCTAGACGGCTGCCCTAGACCTTGTGTTGTTTAAACCACAGCCTGCAGGCTCCGCGACGGGACACAAAGTCACACGGGGACAGCTGTCCGCGCGAGTGAGCTCTCCCGCGGAGCGCAGGGGCGGCCCCGCAGGGAGCAGGCAGGGCGAGCGTCCTGCTGTCCGCAGGCACACAGCTAACAGCCACTTAGAGAAACATCGCAGGGAGAGGAAACCAGACTGCCCTTTTCAAAGCTGGAACAGAATGACTGCAGCAATTTGTTTATGAGTCTGCGGCCAAACAAAGCCTACAGCTTAGCCTGACGATGCTGTGGATCCTGTGTCTATCTGCAGAATCCAAGTAAAGCCCTCGGGGCTCAGTGTGATTTCCGTGAAGACACTTGAGCACTAATCCTGCTTTGGGGCCACAGGGCCGTGCCCCAGGCTCCAGTGCAGCCGCGGACGGGCCCAGCCAGCCGCCCCGTCTGCCGCACGCACTGGGGGTCTCGGAGCCTGGTTTACACGGGGACACTTGAAAAACCATTTCATTTGTTGACTCTTAAGGTGAAAGCATTCTTCGCTTTCCATGAAATGTCCTTCTTTTAAAAAATAGGAGCTTTTCGTATAGATAGTGCTGCTATAAGCATGGGGGTGCGTGTGTCCCTTCGAAACAGCACACCTGTATCCCTTGGATACGTGCCTAGTCGTGCCATGGCTGGGTCGCAGGGTAGCTCTACTTTTAGTTTTTTGAGGAACCTCCATACTGTTTTCCAGAGCGGCTGCACCCGTGTGCATTCCCAGCAACAATGCACGAGGGTTCTCGTTTCTCCGCATCCTCATCAACACCTGCTGTTTCCTGAGTTGTTCGTGTTAGCCATTCTGACAAGCACCCCCAAGTTTATAGCAGCACTATCGACAATACCCAAAGTATGGAAAGAGCCCAAAGGTCCATGGATGGATGAACGGGTAAAGAAAATGTGGTGTGTGTGTGTGTATATATACATATATACACACACACACACACACACATACATATATACATATATATGTACACACACACACACACACACACACACACACACACAACGGAGTATTACTCAGCAATCAAAATAATGAAATCTTACCATTTGCAACTACGTGGATGGAACTGGAGGGTATTCTGCTAAGTGAAATTAGTCAGAGAAAGACAAAAATCATTTGACTTCACTCATATCAGGACTTTAAGACACAGAACAGACGAACACAAGGGAAGGGAAGCAAAAATAATATAAAAACAGGGAGGGGGACAAAACAGAAGAGACTCATAAATATGGAGAACAAACTGAGGGTTGCTGGAGGGGGGGGTGGGCTAAATGGGGAAGGGCATTAAGGAACCTACTGTTGCAATCACTGTTGTACTATATGTTCATTTGGATGTAAATTCAAAATATAAAATTTGGGGCACCTGGGTGGCTCGGTCGGTTAAGCGTCCGACTTCGGCTCAGGTCATGTTCTTGCAGTGGGTGTGTTCAAGCCCCGCGTCGGGCTCTGTGCTGACAGCTCAGAGCCCGGAGCCTATTTTAGATTCTGTGTCTCCCTCTCTCTCTGCCCCTTCTCTGCTCATGCTCTGTCTCTCTCTATCTCAAAAATAAATAAAAACATTAAAATAAATAAAAAATAAAATAAATAAAAAATAAAAACAAGAAATAAAGTTGCTCTGATATTGTTTAAAACACAGACTCTGGCAAAGCAAAGAAGGAAACATCGCACACGCGGATGCTCGTACAGAGCAGAGACGCTTGGAAAACTGTGGCCCTGGGCTGCTGTGAGGGAAGGAGGGCAGCAAGACAGGGAGGACCCCCCAAGGCTTGCGGGGCCCCAGGGGCCACTGGAAGAAGCTTGGACTTTACCTGCAGGGAAACCAGCCTTCGGGGGGTTTATAGGATGACACAATCCGACTTACGGTCTTCAAGTGTCCCATGTGCACTGTGGGGGCCCAGGGCGCCGGGCTTTGCCTGTGGTCCAGGGAGGAGCTCAGGGGGGCATCAGGGAGGACGCGGTACTCTGGGGGGCCTGGCCTGGGTTAAATGAGCCTCAGTCTACACAGCAAGTATGCAGAGAACGTCCTTTGCAGGACACGGGCTTAGGTTCAGTCCTGAAAGCCCATCTGTCCTACAGAAGGACTCAAGGCTCTGTCCTGCGGCCACAGCAGGAAGTGAGGGTACAACCCGGCCCTGGGTCTGAGCACTGTGCCGAGACAAGGCGTGAGGCACAAGTCGCCTGCCACCGAGAAGCACCTCCTCATTAAGACTTTTGCAAGGCCCAGGCCTACTCACCATTGTTCAGTCCACACTGGAGGCCACGAGCAAGGGCCTACCCGCAAACACAGCCTTCGGGGGAGAGCACGAAGCTTTCCAATCTTTTAAATTTTTTTAATTTATAATTTTTTTTACACTTACTTATTTTTTGAGAGATAGAGAGAGACAGAGAACAAGTTGGAGAGGGGCAGAGAGAGCGGGAGACATGGAATCAAAAGCAGGCTCTGGGCTCTGAGCTGTCAGCACAGAGCCCAGTGTGGGGCTTGAGCTCACGAATTGCGAG